GTGAGCTGAGCTCATGACAACCAACAGTGGCTTCAAAGCCACCATATCTTTTTATGGATAACGTATGGTGTATGTGCTTTACACAACAAGAAGCATTTTTTTTATTCACTGGAACCATGGCTAGGGCTAAAAGCAGGTTATAACAATAAATAGAGAAAAAGAAACTGGAATGACTTATGCAGCGAGCAGTGCCACCAAACTGTACCAGCAGGTTGGTGTGGTGACCCCAGAAATTTGAAATTATGCTAGCTGAAATTAGTGCTGGATTACTGATTGCCACATTAGTGATGACTGACCTGTATTGTATGTCTCAAATTGTTACTTAATTGGTAATAGGTAAATTCAAAGACATTACATATCAGTCATTGTCATTTTAGACTATGAACAGATATAAATTTCTTTTCTGTAAGTCTACAAAGACAAATACAGTGGACCCTCACATAACGTTGGCATCACATAACGTTAAATCTGCATAGCAACACATTTTATTGCTAAAATTTTGCCTCGCACAGCGCTAAAAAACTCTCTCAACGCTATTCGTCCAAGATGCGTCTATGTGCGGCCTGAGCCAGCCTCACATGTTCCGCCGGTGGCATTGTTTACAAGCCAGCCTCCGCGGTAACATCCAAGCATGCAATCGGAAGATTTCATATTATTACAGCGTTTTTGGTGATTTCATCTGCAAAATAAGTGACCATGGGCCCCAAGAAAGCTTCTAGTGCCAACCCTACAGGAATAAGGGTGAGAATTACTATAGAGATGAAGAAAGAGATCATTGCTAAGTATGAAAGTGGAGTATGTGTCTCCGAGCTGGCCAGGTTGTATAGTAAACCCCAATCAACCATCGTTACTATTGTGTCCAAGAAAACAGCAATCAAGGAAGCTGTTCTTGCCAAAGGTGCAACTGTGTTTTCGAAACAGAGATCGCAAGCGATAGAAGATGTTGAGAGATTGTTATTGGTGTGGATAAATGAAAAACAGCAGGAGATAGCATCTCTCAAGCGATCATATGTGAAACGGCTAGGAAGTTACATGACGATTTAATTAGAAAAATGCCTGCAACTAGTGATGATGTGAGTGAATTTAAGGCCAGCAAAGGTTGGTTTGAGAGATTTAAGAAGCGTAGTGGCATACATAGTGTGATAAGGCATGGTGAGGCTGCCAGTTCGGACCACAAAGCAGCTGAAAAATATGTGCAGGAATTCAAGGAGTACATAGACAGTGAAGAATTGAAACCTGAACAAGTGTTTAATTGTGACGAAACAGGCCTGTTTTGGAAGAAAATGCCAAGCAGGACCTACATTACTGAGGAGGAAAAGGCACTCCCAGGACATAAGCCTATGAAAGACAGGCTTACTCTGTTAATGTGTGCCAATGCTAGTGGTGATTGCAAAGTGAAGCCTTTATTGGTGTATCACTCTGAAACTCCCAGAGTTTTCAGGCAAAAGAATATCCTCAAGGCTAATTTGTGTGTGCTGCAGAGGGCAAACAGTAAGGCATGGGTCACTAGGGACTTTTTCTATGACTGGTTACACCAAGCATTTGCCCCCAATGTGAAAAATTACCTAATTGAAAAGAAATTAGACCTTAAGTGCCTCCTGGTGTTAGACAATGCCCCTGGTCATCCTACAGATTTGGCAGAGCGACTTTGTGGGGACATGAGCTTCATTAAGGTGAAGTTTTTTCCTCCTAATACCACTCCTCTCCTGCAGCCCATGGACCAGCAGGTTATTGCAAACTTCAAAAAACTGTACACAAAAGCTCTGTTTGAAAGGTGCTTTGTAGTGACCTCAGAAACTCAATTGACTCTAAGAGAGTTTTGGAGAGATCACTTTAATATCCTCAATTGTGTAAACCTTATAGGTAAGGCTTGGGAGGGAGTGACTAAGAGGACCTTGAGCTCTGCTTGGAAGAAACTGTGGCCAGAATGTGTAGACCAAAGGGATTTTGAAGGATTTGAGGCTAACCCTGAGAGGCATATGCCAGTTGAATCAATTGTGGCATTGGGGAAGTCCTTGGGGTTGGAGGTTAGTGGGGAGGATGTGGAAGAGTTGGTGGAGGAGGACAATGAAGAACTAACCACTGATGAGCTGCTAGATCATCTTCAACAGCAAGAGGGCAGACCTGAGGAAACTGCTCCAGAGGAGGGGAGAGAGAAATTGAAGAAGTTGCCTACTTCAAAGATTAAGGAAATGTGTGGAATGTGGCTTAAAGTGCAAACCTTTATGGATGAAAATCACCCTCAGACAGCTGTTGCAAGCCATGTTGGCAACCTGTACACTGACAGTGTTGTGAACCACTTTAGGAAAGTCATAAAGGAACGAGAGGTACAGACCTCTATGGACAGATATGTTGTGCGACAGAAGTCCAGTGACTCTGAAGCTGGTCCTAGTGGCATTAAAAGAAGAAGGGAAGTAACCCCGGAAAAGGACTTGACACCTCAAGTCCTAATGGAAGGGGATTCCCCTTCTAAACACTAAGACCATCAACACTCTTCCCTCCTCCCATCCCATCAATCATCACCAGATCTTCAATAAAGGTAAGTGTCATGTAACTGTGCATGTCTTCTTCAGTTTGTGTGTATTAAAATTAATATTTCATGTGGTAAAAATTTTTTTTTTTTCATACTTTTGGGTGTCAGGAGCGGTTTAATTTGATTACCATTATTTCTCATGAGGAAAATTAATTCGCATAACGATAATTTTGCATAACATTGAGCTCTCAGGAACAGATTAATAGCGTTATGCGAGGGTCCACTGTATGTGTTTTATGTGAATCCATCATACTGAATATGTAGTAACAAACACAATTAACCCTTTCAGGGTCCACAAGCCCTCTCAGAGACTTGTTCTCAGGGTCCCCCAAATTTTGAAAAAAAAAATTATTTTTTCTTATGAAAAGATAGAGAATCTTTTCCCGATCATAATGACACCAAAAGTATGAAATTTGATGGAAAATTTACGGAATTATGCTCTCGTGAAGTTAGCGGTCTCGACGATGTTTACGCATCAGCAATTTTGCCCACTTTGATCCCTATTTTCGGCCAATTCCAGTGTACTAGTCGACAAAAATCATACCTATTTCGCTAGAACTCCATTTTTTCTATCGAATGAGTACAAGAAATCACCCATTTATCAATTTCAACTATCCAATACAGTGGTCAAAATTTAGCAATTTTGCCAGCTTCACACAAATTTCAAAAGATGCCAATTTCCAAATAGGGTCCAGAATAAACAAGACAGACATTCCTGGCACTAAAATAACATTTCCTCTGTTCATTAGTCACATCCCCATGCCCCTCTTACATTCTTTTGCTTTCCATTTTGAATTTTTATTCTCACAAAAAATAGAAGATTTACTGTTATGCAGACTACTGCATTAGTTTAGAAATGGTATAAATAATATCGGCACACTTGTGAAAGAATATTAGACTCACCAGTTGATGTGTATTGGACGCTTAGCATGATTTGTTTATACTTTTGAACTTTGGTAAAAATCAAACATTTCTGCTACTTTGAGCTCAATTTCAAGGTACTTTTCATTGTAAAACCAGTCAAAATCATCTCAATTTCTGTAATATGTCTTCCATTCTATCAAATGAGACCAGGAAAACTAGAATACACCAGTAAATACCATACGAAAATGCAGTGCAAAGTCGCTGTTTTAATCCAAAAACACGGTCAAAGTTTTTTTTTTCTCATTACTCACTGTGTGCTGCAGGATCTTTTTTATACTGCGCACACTGACCACATAGACCCATTCTTTCATATGTAGGCCTACCAGCTTTCTCTCACTAGATTTGAAGGCGCTAGAATTTATGAGTACTAGTACGTCAAGGACCCTGGCACGTAAGCCGTACTAGTATGGCCAAAACCCTGAAAGGGTTAACCCCTTGGCTGTTGCAACCCCCAATCCTGAGGTGTCTCCTGGTGTCGCAAAATTTCAAAAAAAAAAAATTATTTTTTTCTTATGAAATGATAGAGAATCTTTTCCCGATTGTAATGACACCAAAAAAAATGAAATTTGATGGAAAACTGATGGAATTATGCTCCCGCAAATTTAGCGACCTCGGCGATATTTACAAATTGGCGATTTTGCCCACTTTGAGCCCTATTTTCTGCTAATTCCCTTGTTCCAGTCGACCAAACTCATAGCCATTTCTTCAGAACTCCATTTTTACTATCGATTGAGTACAAGAAACTGCCCATTTACCGATTTCAACTACCCAATAACGCGGTCAGAAATTTGCAATTTGGCCAATTTCACAATAATTAAAAAATATGACAATTTCAAAATAAGGTCCAGAATGAACAATGAAGACATTCCTGGCTCTAAAATAACATTTTCTTTGTTCATCAGTCACGTCTCCAGGCCCCTCTGATATTACTCTTGCTTTCTATTTTGAATTTTTATTCAAACAAAAAATAGAAGATATACTGTTATGTAGACTACTGCAATATTGTAATAATTGTGCAAATAATGTCAACCCATTCATGACTGCATATTGAAATGGCTAGTTGGACATTTATTGGACAATGACATCATTTGTTTACTTTTGAACATCGACAAACATCAAACATTTCCCCTACTTTGAGCTCCATTTCCAGGTTCTTTTTATAGTAAAACCATTCAAAATCATCTCTATTTCTATAATATGTTTTCCATTCTATCAAGTGAGACCAAGAAAACGAGAATAGAACCATAAATACTATATGAAAATAGACCACAAAGTCGGCATTTTAATTAAAAAAACTGTCGGAGTTTTTTTTTCTCATTATGCACTGCATGCTCTAGGATTTTTTTTATATGGTGCACACTGACCACACAGACCTATTCTCTCACATGTAGGCCTACCAGCTTTCTCCTGCTTGATTTGAAGCCACTAGAATTTATGAGTATATGTACGAACACGGTACCTCGTAAGACGTATATATACAGCCAAAACAGTCATATACAACCAAAACAGCATGACAGAAGAATTTCAGGAAATTCATTCTTACCAAGACTCTTGAAAATTGTAATTTTGTCATTCAGCACAGGTTTAGTATGGAGAATCAATTCTCCAATCTCACCAAGCACTTCTGCCCCAGCTTTAATGATATCTCCTGCCAAGAAATAAAAATTAATAAAATGGTGCACGTACTGTTTATAAAATGAGTAATGTGTCTTCTATGAACTCTATTGTTCTTATTGGAACACACTATTATAATCATTGGAACACACTATTGTAATCATTGAAACACACTATTGTAATCTCTGGAACACACTGTCTTCGAGTGTGTGGCCATATGTAAAGTCTTTCCTAAACATTTAATGATAAGCAAAATGTCAAAAAGATTACTGAAGGAGGAACTAAAACGTTTGTCAGTAAAAAATCCACATGTTGTTTCAGATAAAAAAAAACTTAGTTGTTTATACTTACTTGTGGTGGAAACAATAATGTGACGAAGAATGAGACCCTTCCACTGTGTGAAAATGTAAGTGAAAGAATACTATGGAAAAAACATTAAAAATTTTTGTTACAATGCTATATTAGGAAAAATAAGTCTAAAAATTATAAAAATATTTGTTGATGTGGAGGCAGAAAAAAATAAGGCAGGTAAACTGGTTTGGAGTGTGTTGTAGCCATTACTTTTAATTTCAGGGACACAATAGTGAAAGGATTAAGCTATATTACATATTATGAATATGTATTACATGACCAACCTAACTCAGTCCTAGCAGATTCAAAACTGTCTGTGTAAATATTTGCAGCTCTTACTAGGTCTTCTTCCATCTCTTGATGATTTGGAGTAGTGGCTCCAACACCTTTAATATATTAAAAGAATCATTAAAAATTTATTTATAATTTTTTTGGTGAGAATTAACACAATTAGTAGAGTATACTGTACTTAGTATTGGTCATGGAAGATCTAAGGCTAGCTAACACTCCTGTGTAAGAGGAGCCGCTGCACCTAGTGTATGCACACCTTAATAATGTCACCTTAACTTCATTTATTATGACTTGGTGTTGATTAATCTATAATAAATTTGGGAGGAGGGTTGTCCTGATGCCAATAAATAGCTATTGATCCAAGGAACTGAGCTATTGTTCTCTTCCTGTAAGTGAACCTGATTCCTCCCATTCCCAAGACACTGTATGACTACTACAGGTTTAGTGCTTCCCCTTGATAATAATAATAACAAAACTTATATTGCACAGTATTTCATATAAATGTCTGGGGTGTAACCATGAAAAATCAAAATTATTTTAAACTAATACCTATGTACAGTGGAACCCACAGTTTCGAATGCCTTGACTATTGTACGCTTCAAGTATAGACTGCTTTTTTTGGCTCAATTTTGTACCGAGTTTCGTACTGTGCCCCACGTTTAGTACAGCCTACCAGACCTGTCCACCTGCTGCACCTGACTGCATCCCCCGTTTAGTACAGCCTACCAGACCTGTCCACCTGCTGCACCTGACTGCATCCCCCACGCAGGAGTCGTGAACCAGTCTAACTTTATTTATGTTTGAGTGAACACTAACCTGTGCACTGATCCAAACATTTCACAATTAATTCATTGTGTTTGGTGCTTGTTTATTAAGTGCAACTGTGAAATAAGCTACCATGGTCCCAAAGAAACTTCCTAGTGGCACCCCTGTGGTAAACAAAGTGAGAAATACCATAGAATTGAAGAAGGAGATAGTACAAAAATACAAGGGTGGTGTGCGACTTGTGGAGCTTGCCAGGATATATGGCAAAAGCAAATCAAGAATCACTTCAATCCTGACAAAGAGAAAAGAACTCAAGGAAGCTGATGCTGCAAAAGGTGTTGATATCATAACCAAAAATAGATGAAAAATTAAGGAGATCTGTGCAATGTGGAATAGGGTGTAGGCATTTGCTGAAAAATATCACCCTGACCAAGCTGAAACAAGCCATCTCTGCAACAAGTTCAGTGACAGAACCATGTCCCATTTTAGGGAAATCTTAAAGAGACGCCAGAGACAGAGGACTATGGACAGTTATTTTGTGAGATGGATCCAGTGACTCTCAAGGGAAGTAACCCCAGAGAGGGATTGATTCCTGAAGTCCTTATGGAGGGGGATGCCCCTTCCCAACACTAAGCCCTCCCTCACTCCTCCCTATCTTCCAGATGCCATCAACAGTCTTCAATAAAAGTAAGTAAAAATATTGTTTTAAATGTTTATTAAATGTTTATTTTTCTATTACTAATTTAAGTACTATTTATGTTAGTTCTGTGTATGTAAAACTATAATCAATCTATAAAATGTATTTTTTTGTTAATATTTTTGGGTTTCTGGAACGGATTAATTGAATTTACATTATTTCTTATGGGAAATATTGCTTCAACTTTAGTACGTTTCAACTTTAGTACTAGCTCCTGGAATGGATTATGTACGAAACTCACGGTACCACTGTATTAATATTTTAAAAGTTTTTATTTTTTAAAACATCTGTCATTCCCACCAAGGTAGAGTGACCCGAAAAAGAAGAAACTTTCATCTCTCACTCCATCACTGTCTTGCTGGAGGCATGCCAATACGTACTACAGTTCAAAAATTTAAGAGAGATTCCAAGACATAAGCATACAGAAATAGCAAAGTATGTAATAGGTTTGTGGATATTTTTTTTCCTCAACATTCACCTCCCACTAAGGTAGGGTGAACCAAAGATACACATTCAACATCATTTATGCAATTGCTGTTATGCCAGAAGTGTCTCCATGGATACCACAGTGCACCACCCATCATTTTTCCTTCATCAATTCTATGGTTTACCTTGTCCTTCTTAAACCCATCTGCCAACAAGTCCACTCCTAAATATCTAAACACATTCACTTCTTACATACTCCCTCTGTCAAATCTGATATCCAATTTTTCCTTATCTACATCGTTTGATACCCTCATCACCTTACTCTTATCTATGTTCACTTTCAACTTTCTTCCTTTACACAGTAGTAGGTGTGAATATTTTGTAAGGTGAGTAAGTTTGACTTTAGAATAGTGGGGGTGTGTGTTGTCTGTAACCCAAATGGGTGATTATTCTAATAGCTGATTTCCGTTGGGTCACAATAGATTGTCGGCAGTTTTCCTTTCATGCTCTTAAGAGTGGTACGTGCATCATCACTATCCAGAATGCTACCCAAGCTCATGATCTTTCTCTTCTTTCACATATCGATACTATTCCTGTCACTATTGAAAAACATCATTCCCTCAATACTTGTAGTGGTACTGTCATTCTGCCCCATACAGTAGTCCAACAGAATTTCCAGACATGTGGCAATGACATTCTTGAATAGTTGGAACTCCAAGATCTCCCAATCCTCAAGGTAGACACGTATGTCCTTCCTGCCCGCGGGCGGAGACGCTACCCTTGCAATGTGGCTCGAATAACTTTCGACAGCCATGAACTCCCATCCTGTTTATGTAGCAGGACATCGGTTACAAGTTCGAAAGGTGATCCCTACACCGCAACAGTGTAGAAATTGCTGGCAATTTAGTCACCCAGCGAAATACAGTGGACGCTCAGCTAATGATGGCATCAGCTAACGTTAAATCCAGCTAACGATACATTTTAACGCAAAATTTTTGCCTCAGCTAACGCTAAAATGTTCACCCAACACGATTCGTTCAAGACGCATCCACATGTGGCCTGAGCGCACTTCAGTTGTCCCATGGATGCCAGTGTTTACAAGCCAGCCAGTGTGGTTGCATCCACAAATACAATCGGAACATTTCATATTATCACAGCGTTTTTAGTGATTGTACCTGCAAAATAAGCCACCATGGGCCCCAAGAAAGCTTCTAGTGCCAACTGTGCGGTAAAAAAGGTGAAAATTACAATGGAAATGAAGAGAGAGATAATTGCTAAGTACGAAAGTGGAGTGAGTGTCTCGGAGCTGGCCAGGTTGTATACTAAACCCCAATCAACCATCGCTACTATTGTGGCCAACAAAACGGCAATCAAGGAAGCTGTTCTTGCAAAAGGTGCAAGTTTGTTTTCGAAACAGAGATTGCAAGTACTCAAAGATGTTGAGTGACTGTTATTGGTGTGGATAAATGAAAAACAGATAGCAGGAGATACCATCTCTCAAGCAATCATGTGTAAAAAGGGTGGGAAATACGTACTATCGTACCACAGTCAGCTGCTGCTGCACCACGGTCAGCTGTTGCTGCACCACAGTCAGTTGCTGCTGAACCACGGTAAGCTGCTGTTGCACCACGGTCAGCTGCTGCTAGTAAGTAAGTTTATTCAGGTATACACAAATACAGTTACATAGAATTATCATACATAGCAGCATATGTGTAGAGAACCTAGGATAACCCAAAAAAGTCAGACAGAGTGACTTATTTCCATTGGGATCTTTTATATTTCCATTGGGGAAATACACCACGATCAACTGTTGCTGCACCAGTCAGCTGTTGCTGAACCACGGTGAGCTGCTGCTGCACCACGGTCAGCTGCTGCTGCACCACAGTCAGCTGCTGCTGCACTACCATCAGCTGTTTCTGACCAACATGACTCGTCCTGAACCTGTCCATCCAGGCCTGCCGTCATTGTGTTTACAAGCCAGGGTGGCCAGTTGCATGCATACATTTGATACATTTTGTATTATTCCATTGTTTACAGTGCTTGTAACTGCTAAATAAGCCACCATGGGCCCAAAGAAAGCTTCTAGTGCCAACCCTGTGGTAAAAAGGGTGAGAAATATGTACTATCATACCACGGTCAGCTGCTGCTGCACCACTGTCAGCTGTTGCTGCACCACAGTCAGCTGTTGCTGCACCATGGTCAGCTGTTGCTGCACCACGGTCAGCTGTTGCTGCACCACGGTCAGCTGTTGCTGCACCACGGTCAGCTGTTGCTGCACCACGGTCAGCTGTTGCTGCACCAGTCAGCTGTTGCTGAACCACGGTCAGCTGCTGTTGCACCACGGTCAGCTGCTGCTGCACCACGGTCAGCTGCTGCTGCACCATGGTCAGCTGTTGCTGTACCAGTCAGCTGTTGCTGAACCATGGTGAGCTGCTGTTGCACCAGTCAGCTGCTGCTGCACCACAGTCAGCTGCTGCTCACCACAGTCAGCTGCTGCTGCACCAAAGTCAGCTGTTGCTGCACCATGGTCAGCTGGTCCTAGTGGCATTAAAAGAAGGGAAGTAACCCCGGAAAAGAATGTGCTACCTAAAGCTCTAATGGAAGGGGATTCCCGTTGTAAACATTAACAGCTTCTATACTCTCCCCTCCTCCCATCCCATCAATCACCACCAGATCTTCAATAAAGGTAAGTGTCAGTTTGTGTATTAAAATTAATATTTCTTGTGGTAAAAATTTTTTTTTTCATACTTTGTGGTGTCTTGCATGGATAAATTTGATTTCCATTATTTCTTATGGGGAAAATTAATTCAGCTAACAATAATTTCAGCTAACGATGAGCTTTCAGGAACGGATTAATATCGTTAGCTGAGGGTCCACTGTATTGCAGATCTATGGCCGAATGCCCAGTCTGCGGTGCCGATGACCATTCTAATACGTCTTGTAATCGACCTCCCTCTTGCCTTAATTGTCATGAGGCTCACCCTTCGTACTCTCGCCGTTGCCAGGTCTACTTAAATGAGCAAGAAATCCATTGCTTCAAAGAGGCAAAAGGTCTCCCTTATGCTATGGCCATTTCTCATCTCCGCCTCCAAGAGAGACTACCCCGTGTTTCTTATTCTCATATTTCTAAACGTCCCCCCACTTCTGGGGTCCCATCTTCTGCAGCCTCCTCTGTGGCTACCCCTCCCATAGTCACTCCTGTGTCTA